GAGGTTTGAAGAATTGAAACCACTAATGTTGATCAAGGACAAGAATCTTGATGAGAGTTATTTTATCTCCAGTTTCATCAGTGGACTGAAAGAAGAAATTAAGCCTATGGTGAAGATGCTGAGACCTGCTACACTGTCAGAAGCCTTTGAGATCTTTCTTTAGCAAGAGCACAACATAAAAAACCAGTTTAGAGGAGTTAGAGAAGGCCACAGGAATGTTGCAGAGAGTAAGTTTGGCATAACCAAAGGCATTGCTCCAGTGGCAGCCAACACCAACACCAACACCTATAAGATACCTTCAACTGGGAATTTCAGGGACACCAAATTCAAGAACTTATAGACTGACCGTCCAGATTCTAAAAGGATTTCACCTCAAGAACTTCAGTATAGAAGAAACCATGGCCTGTGCTTTAAGTGTGGGGAAAAGTATGGACCTGGACATCAATGTAAGTTAGGACACTTAAACTTTCTGATTTGTGAGGAAGAAGATGACTCAATGTTCGAAGATGCATTGGGGGAACATGATGATCAAACTGGAAATCCTGGCCAAGTAATGGAAATATCCCTTCATGCCTTGTCTGAGGCCCTAAAAAGGAAGACTATCACACTGACAGGGAAGCTGGATGGGGAAGAGGTGTTAATCCTAGTGGATACTGGAAGCTCAGATAGCTATATCAGCAGTGAATTAGTCATTGGCATAGATATCAAGTACCAGATGGTCTCAAACCCCTTTTCTGTGATCATGGGAAATGGCACCTGTGTTACTAGTAATGCAATCTGTCCAAGTGTGATGTGGGAAGTTAATCAGTACAAGTTCAGGTTTGATCTCAAAGTAATGGAGTTGGGAGGATGGGACATCATACTGGGAGTGGATTAGATGGTGCACTTCAATCCAATCACATTTGATTTCCATTAGTTAAGAATCTCTCTGTTCAACCAAGGACAGACAGTACACCTACAAGGGCAAGCTGAGAACTGTGATCTGGATTTGATCAGAGGGAAGGACTTGAGGTATTTCATTGAATATAAAAGACAGGTGTGTGCAACCATGGAATGGAAGGAGAATAAAGATCGAAGTGAGAATGCCATGCCCAGAGAAGTGGAGGACATCCTCAGTGACTATGCTGATGTTTTCAAGACACCTGATTCTTTACCTCCAAAAAGGAACATTGACCATGAGATTACTCTGAAACCAAGATCTCAACTAGTCAAGCTCAAGCCATACCGTTACCCCCACTCTCAAAAGGGGGAAATAGAGAGACAAGTTACAGAAATGTTAGAGAATGGAATAGTTATACACAGCACCAGTCCATTTGCATCTCCAGTACTGCTAGTCAAGAAGAAAGAAGGCACTTGGAGGTTCTGTGTGGATTATAGAAAACTGAATGAGATGACTATTAAAGACAAATATCCAATACCAAATGTAAAAGAGCTACTGGATGAATTGGCAGGAGCTGTGTTCAAGTCAAAGTTGGATCTGACAGCAGGATATCACCAGATTCGAGTCAAGACTCAGGATACTCACAAAACAGCATTCCAAACTCATTACGGCCATTATGAGTTCCTAGTGATGTCATTTGGCCTTACCAATGCACCAGCCACCTTTCAATCTCTAATGAACCAGGTATTCCAACCATATTTGAGGAAATTTGTCTTGGTATTCTTTGATGATATACTAGTTTACAGTCCTACATTGAAGTCACATGTTCAATATCCGAAAATAGTGCTTGATACTCTGAGGCAAAACTAGTTATATGCAAAAAAAATCTAAATGTTCTTTAGCTCAGAAAACAGTAGATTATTTGGGGCACACTATCTCTGAGAAGGGTGTTAGTGTGGATCAATCTATGATTGACTGTATTTTGAAGTGGCCTGTACCACAGACGGTGAAGGAGTTGAGAAATTTTTTGGGTTGACAGGGTACTATAGGAGGTTCATACAATGTTATGGGCAAATATGTAAACCTCTTACTGAACTCTTGAAGAAAGATAGCTTCACATGGAATGAAGGTGCTCAGAGTTCCTTTGAGAAACCGAAGAAACTGATGGTCACTGCACTAGTCCTTAAACTGCCAAACTTCAGTAAGCCTTTCATCATTGAGACTGATGCCAGTGGGGGAGGCCTAGGGGCTGTGTTGATGCAAGAAGGCCACCCTATTACATTCAACCTTGGACTATCTGTGTATGAGAAGGAACTCCTTGCTCTAGTCATGGCTGTCACTAAGTGGAAGCATTATTTGGTAGGACATCACTTCATCATCAGGATAGATCATTAGTCACTAAAGTATCTACTGGACCAGAAACTGAACACTGCTCTACAGCACAAGTGGCTAACCAAATTATTAGGATTGGACTACGAAATCCAATATAAGAAGGGTGTTGAAAATCTGGTTGCAGATGCATTCTCAAGGAGACAAGGAAAGGATATCACAGTGGACAGTAACACTAGTTCCTATTTGGCTCTATCTGCTGTAAAACCAGGCTGGATGGAGGAACTGATGAAGAGTTATGAATGTGACCCTCAATGCCAAGAGATCATGTCTCAGTTTCTGTTAGATTCCACTTCCCAACCATCATACACCCTGACAGATGGAGTACTCAGATACCAAGGGAAGATGTATGTAGGGGCAGGAAATGACATCAGAAACAAACTGGTCTCAGCTCTACATGACTCTGTAATGGGAGGACACTCTGGAGCTTAAGAAGGATGTTATTGCCTATGTACAGGAGTGTGATGTGTGCCAACAAAACAAGTCTGAACATCTTCCATATCCTAGCTTACTTCAGCCCATTCCAATTCCTCAACAAGCCTGGTCCCACATTTCTATGGACTTTATTGAGAAACTTCCCAAATCACAGGGCTATGATACCATACTGGTTGTAATAGACAGGTTCACTAAGTTTGGACATTTCCTGCTATTAACACATCCCTTCACAGCAAGACAGGTTGCACAAGTTTTCCTAGACAATGTTTTCAGGTTGCATGGACTGCCAGAATCTATTATCACTGACAGGGATAGAGTGTTCACCAGTTGTTTCTGGAGGGAACTGTTCAAGCTAATGGGAATTCAACTCAAGTACTCTTCTTCATACCATCCTCAGACAGATGGCCAGAGTGAGAGGCTAAATCAGTGTCTGGAATCCTATTTGAGGTGCATGACTTGTGAGTTTCCATCTCAGTGGAGCAAATGGATACCTACTGTAGAATGGTGGTACAATTCTGCATACCACACCAGCTTGGAGCTTTCATCATTTGAAGCCTTGTTTGGCTATAAACCAACACCTCTTCCCTTGGGACCATATCAGGACTCAGTGATACCTGCTGCAACTCAGATAGTGCAGGAGATGGCCAAAATCACCACTAGCATCAAGGAGCACTTATCCAAAGCTCAAAGTAGGATGAAACATTTTGCTGATAAACATAGGACTGAGCGGGAATTTGCAGTAGGGGACTGGATATTCTTAAAGTTGGAACCGTATAGACAACAGTCAGTATCTGTGAGGAAATGCTTGAAGCTTTCTGCTAAGTATTATGGCCCTTTTCAGGTTGAAGAAAGGATTGAGAAGGTAGCTTATAGACTGAAGCTCCCTGCAGGGGCCAGAGTGCATCCGGTATTTCATGTATCCTTACTTAAAAGGAAGGTAGGACCTCTACAACAATTGTCTACAACATTACCAGAATGGGATGAGCATGATCTATGCCCCCTTAAGCCAGAAATGATTCTTAAGAGCAGGGCAATTTTACGAGATGGACAGCCTGTTATACAACTACTGATCAAATGGAATCACCTCAGCTTTGATGAAGCTTCCTGGGAAGATAGAGCTTTCATAGAGCAACAATTTCCAGATTTTTGCAGACTTGAGGACAAGTCAAATCGCAAGGGGAAGGGATTGTCAGGATAGAAGATAGGAATAAACATTAGAGAAACGGCACCATTTAAGGAATTGGGGGAATTAGTTAGTGGAACGGCACTGTTCAGGAGATTGGGGCAATTATTAAGTGGAACGGCAACGTTTTGGCCATTTGCTTAGTTAGTTACGGTAGTTAGTTTACAACAATAAATGGGGCCCACTCTCTGTAACAATCAGACAGTTATGAACTAGAATTGATTTCTTTTCCCTCTTCTCTCTCATGCTCTTTTCTCTCTCTCTCTCTCTCTCTCTCTTATTTCTCTCTCTTATTCTTCCCCAATTTCCCATTCTTTCTGATCTGTCTGTAAATTCATCATTTCAATCACTCAATCCATAATAGTATCATTGCCAGTAACCCGGTTGCCACCCACAGACGTCTGTAAGTTCCAAGCTTACAGACGTTTGTGAACCATGGTTAGTTAACTTCTTTTTTTTTTCTTTTGTCGATGAATAATTCCTATTATATACCTTCTCTTACTTTACACTAAGAGGGAGACATGGGGAAATTCTAAGACTCTATTAGGGGGAAGGGTTGGAGGGGCTGAATTGCCACCAAATCAAATGAATGCATGTGCATCTGATGATTAAATCTCCAAAAAATTCTAGAGAAAAATGTAAGCTAAAAGATTTGATTTCTTAACTGAGAAAATAAGTGAATTTAAAATGGTCAAAGAGAAATTTCAAAACTCTATACTACGGGGAAGGGTTGGAGGGGCTGAATCGTCACCAAATCAAATGGATACATGTGCATCTAATGATAAAATGTCCAAAAAATTTTAGAGAAAAATATAAATTAGAGGATTTGATCCCTTAACCTATATCCAAGAAAAGTTCTAATTTTTTTTTCGATGACCAACTTCTCTAATAGTAATAGGTTAATCCATGGTTAGTTAACTGACATGTGAAAGCATGCGTGCCTATTTAACAAGCCAAAAGGGTGACGTGCTTTTTTTCTTTTTTTTAAAAAAGATGTGACGTGCCTTTTTCAAGGACCACACCGTCCGGGTCCATTAAAGAATTTGTCTATTTCCGACAAAAAAAAAAAAAAAAAAACATGGCAAAAGAGCAGTTTGCCTCAGTATGAATGGACTTGCCGACATATGTAGTTGACACTGGGCAGGAAGATTGCCAAAGAAATTAGATACAAAGTGTTAAAAGATGGCAAATTTGCATATCCAACTTCACTTAGTAGCATTATTCTTCCTTTCTAGTCTTATACTGCCCTCTAATTGCCTTCCTGCCCTCCATCCAAAACCCCCTGTTGCCCTCCATCCAAAATCCCCTGTTGCCCTCATTGTCTTTGGTGATTCACTTTTTGACCCTGGAAATAATAACTACATCAAGACAACCACTACTTTCCAGGCAAATTTCCCACCTTATGGAGAAACATATTTCAAATCCCCAACCGGGAGGTTTACCAATGGCCGCACTATCCCTGATTTTATAGGTAAGAGCGCTTTCTTGCAAAAATTTATATATTTACAAATTAATCTACGTGCAAATATAGAGTATTTGATGCTTAACAAAATATAACATGTCATACATCTATGCCCGTTACTCTAAAAAAAATTAAAATAATTCTAGTGTTTATAAGATTAATTTTTAAAAAACATTTAAAGCTACAGTGACTTTTTTGCAGCTGAATTTGCAAAATTATCCTTAATTTCACCATATCTGCAAACCGGGCATCATGAGGTTTTGACCAAGGGCGTGAACTTTGCATCTGGCGGTGCTGGTGCTCTTGTGGAAACTAATAAGGGATCGGTAGGTATTAACTTGTGACTAAGAGTAACTAATTCCTACATTTTAGTAACTGCCAATTGCTAATAGGTCAGTATCTCATGTCATTTCTCAGGTGATCAGCCTTCATATGCAATTCAATAACTTTAGGGAAGCTAACAAACAGTTGAGGTTGAAGCTAGGTAAAAGAGCAGCAAGACGAGTGGTGAAAAATGCTGTGTACTTGATCAGCATTGGAAGTAATGATTACTTGAACCCGTTGATTAATAATCCCAGTATGTTTAAGTCGCATGCGCCACAAGATTTTGTAGCAATGGTGGTTGGCAACATTACATCAGTGCTTAAGGTAATAGTCCGATTTTCTCTCTCTTTCTTTCAACTTTGTTAAATCTTTACAGTTAAACCTTTTCTTTTAATCTTTCCATCCCTTTCCACATCCTTTGTCTTATTACAGAGAGAGATGGGTTGGATGGTATGAGAGGCGGGAGTGTAAGTGAGAGGTCCGATTTCGAGACCTCCCACTTATCGAAACCTCCCACTTATACTTAAAAAAACAGAAAGAGAAACAAATAATTCCTCACATCCTTTCCTACTTTCAACTGCTAATTAATATTGAAATTTTCTTATCCAATACATGTTAGCTTAGTTAATAGTACCATTTTCTCTAAAAATGATAAGCGGTCTAGAATCTATCTTGACCTATGGTAATGATTGGAATTAAAACTTACTTGTACTTGCTACTGCCAAAATTAAAATTTCTTACACCAGTGGTTGAGGGTTTATGTTTCTTGCCTTGAGATACCAATTTGGTTGTCACTAACCGTCTCAAATATGCGGATGGGGCCTCACAAGTTCTATTTCCTACAAGTTTGCCCTTTGATGTAATTGAGTTGGAAAATGGTATCACAAAAGTTTGAATGTGGTGTAACTGAGCTGAGAGATAGTGTAACAAAATATATAGTTACTAATTTACCCTGATATGGAGTAAAATACATTAATACAACTGGTGAGACCACTTTCTACCCTTTTCTTGTTTTTCTTCTCACCCCTCCCCTGGGTGCTGCCTTTGGCATACTGTGTCCAATGTCCATGTATCTAATCCTATTGTTAATTGAATGACAGAAAATTCACAGGGAAGGTGGAAGAAAAATTGGGATTTTAACTTTGGGTCCTTTAGGTTGTTTCCCAAGGCTTAGGCTGGCCAATGTGGCCGCTGGAGGAAATGGAGAGTGCCTGGAACAGGCCACAGCTTTGGTCAAATTACACAATCCGTTGCTTTCCCAAAAGCTCCAATTGCTACAGAAACAGCTCAAAGGTTTTAAGTACTCATATTTTGACTTCTTCACGGTTTACACTGAGACGATACAAAATCCACCCAAATACGGTATGTTCTTGAATTCGTCATTTGCACAATTCCACTTTTAGGAATTATGGTGAAAATTCTTTAATACTACAATCTTTCATAATAGAAGTACATAAATGTCTTCAGAATTAGTGCCATCTCTATTTCTATTAAATAAATAAATAAATGCCTTTAGAATCATGGAAAGTGGTTAAAATATGAAGATTATGTATTAAAGTATATAATTAATTACCATTCTTGTACACTCCTAACAAATATTGCATATTTTGGAGATATTTAATTATTTAATCATTGTAAAATTTAACTAATCATTTCTGCAATCCCAAAATTGAAATCATGCTCCTCAATCGAGAATCAGGATTCGGCTTAACTTTCAGTTACTCCCCTCTCCATTTACCATAGTACACAATTGGATGGACGACACGTCTTTCATTTGTCGGTGAAATCGAGACGTGTAGAGTGAAAAATGGAGAGAGAAGTAATTGGAAGAGGAGTCGAAGAAATACGCGTGTCTTGCATGTGTATTGTGGAAACCGGATAAGAGTGTGATGAAGACAAGCCGCATCCTAAATCTTTGGCTCCCAATTGCTACTCCTAATATTATTATTTTCTCCTATATTGAGGCTAGATCTTCTTTAAGATAGTAGCATAATACTAGCATCAATTAGCAAAGGTAGTAGAGTAACATTGTTATTGGTTGATTACTCAAAAAGGTTTCAAGGAAGTGAAGAGTGCATGCTGTGGTAGCGGTCCTTTCCGAGGAAACTTTAGCTGCGGAGGAAAGAGAGGAGTAAAAGAATATGAGCTGTGTCATTATCCCAAAGATTATCTATTTTTCGACGCTGAGCATCCAAGTGAAGCGGCCAACTTCTTGTCTGCGCGGTTGATGTGGGGAGGGCCTTCCAACGTTACAGGGCCTTACGATATCCGGTCTCTCTTTATGCGCTAATTTCTGGTGTGGACTTCTTAAATTGTGTAAACTTGAAGTTCACAACTCCAGATCTGCTTCTTATATTTGGTCATGTATTTGAATAATAATTTCAATAAGAAAAAATATCAATAAGCAGTAGAATCCCATGGTGTTTGCTCTACGGTCAGTCCTTCAATAATGACTAACTAATCTTCAGAAGCCGGACACGGGGCTATCCATCTTTTATAAATGTTGATTATTTTACTCATTTGTTGCAATTTTGATTCCTATCCCTAAAAATTTACAGCATATGATGTGCTCCGTGTTTTTCCTGTGCAACTTTTTTTTCCCTTTCCAACATTTGCCTGTGGAAAAAGAAAGCACCAGGGAGATGCAGCTCCATTTGTTTCAAGGCCTGTAAGATGAGCATAGAGGTGTTCATCTTGGGGTGGAGATAATAGGAGGATCGTTTGACCAAATAAACTACTAACAGATTACATATAAACAACCAGAGAAGATCTACAGTGGATGAAATGTTTATGTCAGATACACTGCTACAACTTTAGACAGCTCCAAACATCTTGTAATTCCGAGGCAGTTAACAATGATGGTCCAAAAGGGACAAATATCCCATTCTTGATGTTCAATTTTCTAATAGTCTGTCATACAACATCATCTCCAGATGATCTCTGGCTCTTCATTTGGTACAGGTGTCTTTGAGAGACGACTGGCATAACGTTCCACGTTGATGATTATTCAGAAAGCCACTCTTGTGTCAGCATATCCTTAGATTTTCAAGTTAAGCAAACAAATTATCAAAATTGCAACAAACGTAGCATAGTTATTTGATAAATTCTTGTTCCACTCACTTGAAGAGGCTTGAACATCAGGCAAGCTGACGTACTTGGGACACGAGCTTGAAGCAACCAGATAACTTTTAATGTGAGGTTCACTGATGCAATCTCGAGGCTGCAAGAACAGTAATTTCCCAAAGAGAACTAAGAATCTATCAAGAGGTAAAGAGATGAGATGACAAATACTCTAATCAACTGTAACGTTTAAGGTCAGCCTCATGTTAAAATGCAAATCAATGATACTGTCAGCTAGTTGGTGTATCAGTGGTACAGAAACAATAAAGAACACTCCCAGAAAACTGTAACAAGTTCAAAATTCAACCTATTAATAAAACCAATTAAGGCTAAAACAGACCTTGAAATCCTTAAAGAAGCACAAACGGAGTTCCTCCACTGCACCACCTTTGCACTGGAGCTCCGGTGTTGCATGGAAAGCATTTTGAATTGCTGCGATTATGCCCCCTAGAGGATACTTTTCAGAGTTTGATGGTAAATATCCAGCTTCATTCAGAACTTGCTGTTCTCATGTCCAACAAAAATGTTATAGAAACGAGTAAGCAAACAAGCAACACCATTCAAATTCATACAGGATAGACATTTAGTCTAGCGTTTAAGTAATTGTGTGTGGGGGTGTGTCTATATTTATATATACATACATATATATATATATATATATATATATATATATATATACATGGCCAAGTTCATAAATAATGGTTGTCACTAATTCAAGAAATTTTTATTCTTCCTCATGCTAAGCCAGAAAGTTGTTATGGAAAATTGCTTCTGCATTCAGATTGGCAAGTTAGGAGAAAATTGTACAAATAATTTGTCATGAATCAAAATTTCTTCTATCTCAAAACCACAGAAGCAATTCCAGCCTGTACTACATCTTAGATTTCTGAACACACGAATGATCATACATACGGAATATCAATGAAGAAGAACCAAATGAAAAAAAGGAAAACCATTAGAGCACACTTCATAGCTCAAATCATCCATTAACCTAGAGAGCAAACCTGAGAACAAAATCCTTTAGGACATTATAGCAGAATCGCAACCCTAACTTGTCTCTTCCCTGCAATCTTTGTTTCCCTTAAAAGATTGAACTTGGGTTTCTCTTCCTACCAGCTCCTTGCTTCACTTGAAGGACTTAACTTGGGCTTCTTTTCCCACCAGCTTAACTTATTCAAGCGATGTTCATTAAAAACGGCCATTCTTTCCAAAGATTGTTTTAATCCACTTCTTGACAATAGTAGCATCCAATATCAACTTAGTAATTAGGGAAGAAGTATTCTTGCTATCTGCTTCCAGTACTCTTGAATGTGTACTCAGCCACAAATTATGATAATTATGTTTAAAACTGAAGTTGACTGCTGGGATAGCAACTGAGTATAAATCTCTATCGTTATTGGTTAACTTAGCACCAATTTCTCAACCATCAGTTAAAAGTTGGAGAAGCCCACCAATAACAATGTATTTGCAATTTCACCGCAAATAAGCAGATCTACCTTCAACCATTCAACAGCACATAAAGCTTTGACGTACACAAGTATGCAAATATGCAGTCATCAAGCAGAGAAATTGGGACAATTAAGATGGATTAAAGGAAATTGGTTAAAGTTGAGGAAAAATTTAAAACATTAAAAACTTGAGTACACTACTAAAATCTTACTGTGACATTATACTTGGAGTAGACATTAATAGCCGTCAAAAAATAGCTGTATTCATCACGAATAACAGGAGAGCAACATGTCCCATGCTTTTCTGCATGAACACAACCAAAAGTTATATTCAGATATGCAGTGTTGTAACCCAAAGTCATCTCCCATAACATTTATTTCAGCAAAGCAATTATTTGAATCTGCATTTTAGCAGAACTATGTTTGTGACGATCGCCCCCCACTCCCTGTACGAGGTCAAATACGAAATTATGCTTTGAAAGTTAAAGTTGACAAGAGAAGGAAACCAGTTCTTATATAGCATGACACAGCAATGGACACAACTTGGCAACTTTACTACCCAAAATTTTGCAGCCCAAGGAATTCTGGGCCTTTTGTGGCCCAAACCTTTAAGCAGTTCCTTATTCAAGCTTGACTAGGTTAGTTCCTTACTCATATGACCGGGATGCAAAAAATTCAACACTTGAGGCTAAAGAGTTACAGCAATGACCAATAAAAAGTAACTCTTGACACTACCTCACCATTGAACAATTTGACTTAGTGGTCATACAGTATTTCCCCCACAGCAAAGGCATGACAAGTTCATTGTTAGTGGTGATCCTCTTGAAAATACTACTGACCATTTAATACTGCTGTTAAACATTATTCTCTGAGGAGTGATTTCCTCATTTTCACAACATGCAATTCATATAATTTTAATAACTTATTCTTATTATTACTGTTCAAGTTAAATTTCATCTATTAAATTCATTGACTGCTGCATCAAGACAAATTAGGGGCCATATTGTGTAACACCCAACATCAAAGACCACAAAGCATAAATCCTCAATACTCTCCTTCAACAATATCAGCAGAGTCTAAAATTTGCACCATAGCAAGATATGTGCTGTTGTCTTTTCTTAATCTTAAATGTTAAGTATCACTAAAAAGGAAAACTGGGTATGACACTCAAGAGGTAAAGCAAGAGACCCAGGGGCATGAAAGAGCTGAAGATGGAGGTGCCATAGTCATGGATATCTGAAAAAGGTTCCACAAATTTTAAAAGTGAAGCAAAAGTTCCAAATGTTCCCTTCGGTTCTCAAGCTGCATACCTTTCCTTGGATACAAAAATATAAAATTTAAACAACTCTTAGAAATCAATTGAAGGTCTTGAAATTCTTTAGGTATCATCTATCTACCAGCAGAATTCCATTTCTAATTTGAACTATAAAAATATAGGGCCCTAAAATTCATCATAATACAAAGTAGAAAAAATGCGACAGGTGAAAGATAATTACCCCACTGTAAGCAGTTGTCTCCCAATTCAACCACAAAACCAGCAGAAAGAAAACATGTCAGCGCTATGTGATGGAACTAGAAAGCTTGTACACAAAATTACAATCAATTGAGCACCTCATGAGCCCAAAATGTTCCTTTCCCTCCATGGCATGTTGATGATTTACTACAACTTAAAGATGGCCAATACTTCTTGAGAACATCAGTCAGTGTTGAAATCTGGTTGAATAATGCAATTCAAAAGAATTCAAAAGAATTAGAATGGTTTTGAGATACTGCCAAAAGTAACAGAACTTGCAAAAGATACTGTCTAAAAAGAGAGAGAGAGAGAGAGAACTTGCTGAGCACTAATTTGGAGAAATGCCAAAGAATGAACCCATATACACCAGTATTACAAGAATATACAGACAAACTCAGTGGAACATACAGTTACCAATGATTAGGGAAAGTAAACTCCTTGATCATTATCATCTTGCTAATTCCAGGCTAATCTAACGAAACCCATTGGATTACCTTCCCTTTATTGGGAACTAGACGATACCAAGCAGAAAAGGTTTATATGAAGAATTTCATCCTTAAAAAGTACTCCTATGCAGACACCAGATACTATAATTAGTAGCATGATCATGCTGTAATGCAACTCTTGATTTTACAATACCATTGACAATTTCAGACTAACTGTATAACCAACAATTAATCAATATTTTGTGCGTACAGAAAATGTTTACAGCAATCCTTTCCCTCAGAAGCACCAAAAATTTCTCAAGGATAAAAACCAGCACAAAGATGCAAAACAAGTAGTGCATGAATCACCAGGTGTCAAGAGAATCTGAACCACAAATCCTACAACAAGAACTTGACAGTTGAAATCAATTACAGGCACTTCCAGAGTGAAACAAACAGAGAACAGAGTGCATTCAAAGCAGTCATTGGCCTCTCAAGCACAGAGTTTCTTTCTTATTTTTCTATTTCATTAAAATCCTAACATAACTCCTTTCTAATAAAAAATTGCTAAAGCAATGCACAGCTTTTAACAACTGCAGCAGTTTACAAAATCAACATGAACTGAGCTGCACTTTATGAATACAAAATTGCATCTGTAACTCAGCATGCGTCATCAATATCCACCCCAACTGAAAAGCACAGTTTAGTCAGGATTTTTAAATACGGTATTTTGGATGGAAGTTCCATTGAAAGCATGTTCATGTCCAAAGCAGAGCATGGTCAGACAAAGCACCTCTTTGGAATCATATCTGGGACCATTGCAACAGGCTGGCCAAGATCCATCATTGTAATCAGGCCATAGTCCATCTATAGGATAAGAGATTCTGGTAAGCAGACAAGATTGGCAAGTAAACTCTGTAGGTGATTCATTCCAAACAAGGAAAAAGTTGATTAAAGTTGTACAAGAGAGATGAGATTTTGCCTCATCCTTGTATGAGCCCTTAATTCCAATTTAGTCAGATTTTCATACATCACTACTATTTAATAACCTCTTATATTCTTGCCAACTTACCAGCAATAATTCCTTTCGTAACCAGATTCAACAATGAAGCAACTGAAAAAATGAGTTCTCGCAGCATTTAAACCGCTAAAGCTCAACCATATTAAAATTGACAATCCATTTCCCAATTTTTTTTGTTTACTATTATCCTGGGCTACATAACTTTTCCATTAAATGCTGTTTACTTTTCATTACCATTTTATCCACCCTCCCAAATTAGTGTCACCATTATGCAGCTGCGTATAATTCCTAATTCACTAAGGATTTGCCCCTAAAAATGAGACTGAAAGAGAAAAGGCAAGAAGAACTAAATGTATGGTCCGCCATCTTTAAAAACTCTTCTTCCCACAAAAATGCATACTATTCCCTCTTTCAGATTCATGAGGGCCAAACCATCAAAATTGAGTAGAAAATGTTCCATCTAGCTCCCCTCCCCTCTTTTTCCCACTTCCAAACTGACCTCTCTCCTTTCCACTTCCAAAATGAAAAGGTAGAAGAAATGCCTTTTGTTGGCAAGAAAATCAGAAGATATCAAATTATGCCAAAAGTGTCAATAGGCATATTTGTATCTAACTATGTTTCCTGCATAATCAAAGTTCAAAACTTAGTCCCAAAAAAAGATTCAATGATTTAACCAAAAAGAAGTTAGAGAGAACATGATGCGGAACCCATAAGAGGAAAAAATAAACCATACTACAATCAATACTTCAAAAGATATATACATGGAATTGTACTTACGTATTGTAAATTCAGATAGCGAATTCGAGCTGCAAAGAACCAAGCAAACCCATTGAGAACTATGAAGTTAAGCTAGCCCATAAATCTTATGCATTTAAAACTCAAAAAGCCCATCATGTAGGTTTCAAAAAGCTAAAATATACCCTTGGCAACAACCATTGGAGGCACAACACCGGTGATTTCCTTGACAAATGGTGCCTGGCCATTGAAGAGCCAGCTTGAAGTAATCAAACTCTCTTTGTTCTTGACCTGAGCCTCCTCCGTGTACTCCTCCCGTTAATTCTTCTCCAAGATCCACACCATTAATTTTCATAAGACATAAGGATGCAACTAAAATCATCAAGAGCTGCATTAATACAACTATTTGGATGGGGAGAAAAGCCATGGTTACTCAACCTCTAGTCTGCAGGAATCAAAACCATGAGCACGCGTTACAAGTACATTAACAACACTAGATCTCAATTTCACTACTGATTCTAAACAATCTCAAGTAATTCACCGTCCGAGCTGTTGCCACCTTTTCCAGAATTCAGTTAAGCATGTTAAATTTGCAGCTATAAATCTGAAGTATTTCAACAATTCTTTTAACATTTAGATTTAAACATCTTAGTTTCTAGTATGAGTTTTGACATGGTTTATTTATATTTTAGAAAAACTAATGTAAATAATTCTGCAAAGACCAAAAAAAAAGACAGGGACAAGGTTAAGTAAAGAGTATAATATATTACCATAGCCTATCAATCAAAACCCACTTAATAACATTCATGTCACTACTGATGATCAAATAATCCATTTTCCAAGCACAAAAACCAGCAGCATGTATTTATTCATGTGTTACTAGGAATCTTATAAGAATTATAATGCCAATAAGTAAATAAAAAAACGTAAAACTTTTTCTTGAATTTCTTCCTAGTACAAAACTACAATAATCAGATAACTATGAGTACAAGAATTGATGCCCACTAAACACATTCATCTATAAATTCACAAGACCCATCATAAATTTTTTCTTTACTAACTTATGTTGACTTCAAAAAGATAGAAAAAGAAAAGAAAGTCATTCCATTAATTCCTAGGCCAGAACTGAAAAAACCAAATATATATGAGAATAAGAATTGATGCCCACTATAAATTTTCACGTAATATACAAGACCCATCAGGAATTATACAGTTTCAATGATAATCCTCTTGGTTTTCATTTCAATAAATTGGAATAACTGAGATAACTGAAATTTGAAGAAAAAATACGGAAATACATACCTAGAACGAACTGATCACAGATAGTTTAGAATTGGTTGGAGTAGATAATTGGAGGAGCTTACCTCAGAGGCTAGAGGATGAGAGATTTTGATCAGTTTCCGTCTACTTTCCCTGACTCGAAAGCTGAAAGCTCCAGACCTCTGTTCCCCAATTTGCGTAGCGCATTCGAATCTGTTTTTGGTTGTGACTAAAGATGGCGTTTGGTTCGTACCTTAGTACCGGATTCGGATATTCTGGATTTGAAATGGAGTCAATCATTCTAATATATCTGTTCGGTTCAATATTAATATATCATTACATGTTTGGTTCTTTGTCTCATTTGAAATGGGATATAAGAAATTTTTACTAATTAAATGTATTAATAATTTAATATAACTAATTAATAATTTTTATTAATAAATATGTATAATTATATTACATGTGTAATTATTAATACAATTAATAATATTACTAATATTAATATATATTATATAATACAAACAATTAATAATAATATTATTATAAGTTTGTAACTAATTATAATTATAATTTATAATAATAAATATGAATATAATTATATAATATTATAATAAAATATATTATTATAATTATAATATATATTATATGTTAATTATTTTAACGGGTGGCGGGGACGGGCCCTATTTCTAAAAAGGAATCAAAGTTATGTTTTGTCCAAAACCTTTCAGGTTACTTGGGAATTGAGGAATTTCAAATTTTTAGATATGATTCTAAAATTTCAATTTCAATAAAGTAATTCAAATAATAATTATGAAATTTATTTCAATTTTTCATTTCGAAACTCTATTATCAAACACCACCTAATTTAGCATCTTATCTATCGCGGCTATCACAAAAAAAATCTAGGACTTTTAAAAATTTCTAGGGGAGTTAGCCGAGTGTCGCATGTCCATTGTTAAAAATGATTGTTTTGGTTCATTAACACCGGGGAATGGAGGGGCTTGCCATTGAGTTTCAGTTGCTGATGTGGCGTGCTACCATTGGTCAAAATGTGGTAATCTTGCAATTTGACGAGGTGTCCGATTGTGATTCGTCAATTGGTGATAGTTCTTCCAATTACACATAAAATTGATGATGTGGCCATTTTTTATTGGATTGGAGGTGGTTGTTAACATATTACATGTGGGATTGTGATAAAATTTGGCCTTTTTTCCCCTTTCCCAACAATAAATTGTGTTAACAAAAAATTGGTATCCTAATTATTTACAATTATCAACGCTTTCTTTTGGTTGCCAAATAAATGACAATTATTAATTATTATTTTTTATTGTAATAATTGCTTATGTTATGCTTTTGTTATGCTCCAATTGTGAAAAATTTACTCTTTATTTGATTTTTTTTCCAACAATAACCTAGCTTTATTTTTGGTTTTTTGGAATGAGAGGGGAAGACATTCAACTATTATTATCAAATTTTCACGACAATCTTTATTTAGTATTAATTCTACGTAAACAATCAACAATGTGGTGCCCTTCCATTAGTGCCACCACACACCGTGTTTAATTATCGATTCCCCACTATTAATTGTTATAATTATTTATTTATTTATTTTTATTTGGGTTCCATTTTTTGGTTACCCAATAAATCACATTTAATTACCAATTGTTTACAATTAATTGCTAATAACTAATTAATAATGTCATTTTTTGGTTACCCAACAAATCACATTTAATTAATAACTTTTTTGCAATTATTAACAAAAAAATTGGCTTCTTTGTTGTGGTTGTCCAAAAAATCACATTTTATTACCATTTTTTTCAAATTTTATAAAAAAGGTCCTCTTTTATTTTGGGTTGCCCAACAAATCAAGTTTAATTATCAATTTTTTGCAATTAATTTTTAATTAATTAAGTAATAATTTTGTAGTTTTATTGCCTGACAAATCACATTTAATTACAAGTTTTTTATAATTATTAATTTTTTTTGGTTACCCAACAAATCACATTTAATTACCAATTCTATGTAGTTATTAGCAAAATTTAGCCTCTTTTTTTTGTTGCCAATCAAATCACATTTAATTTCCAATTCTTTGCAATTATTAATAGAAATTTGATCTCTTCTTTTGGTTACCCAATAAATCACACTTAGTTACCACTTTTTTGGTTTGACAAAAAAAATTAGCTTAGGCAATGTGTGAGGACTCGAAATTTTTTTTTTATTTTATCGAATATTGGTAGTTTGTTTAAATATTTATTTACTCATTTTTCTCCAAATTATTTATTTCGATCATTTAAAATCCATTTATATGGAACGACGCCTCATTTATATTTTTTAAAGCGTTTTGTTAGAAAAATTCACTTTTCGAAAACTCGTTTAGTTTGGAACAACGAGTGCATGTTTTTCGAGACTATATTTAAATCGAGAGTGTATTGATATTAGAGAGTTAACAATGATCAATGGTAGATTAAGAAAAGTTCATTAAGGAATTAATACTCGACTCATGTAAAGACTCACAAAAATTTACCTATTTTAAACTCCAAATTCTAGCTCATTTAATTATTTATTTGGCCAATTGCCCCAAATATTATTTTCTAACCTTTTTAGACCTAATTAAAAGGATCTATGGCTTAGTTATATTTTTAAAGTGACTTGTTTCAAAATTTAATTTCTGAAGACTCGTTAAGTAAAAATAGTAAATATGCGATTGGAATAAATAATTGAATCGAGGATACAATAAATTTGGAAAAATTAGAGACATGTACATTAGTCTCAAATTAGGTATTTTTATGTTTAAATGCTCAAGTATTAGTTAGTAATACAATCGTTATAAGAATTTTTTGAAAGTTAAGCGTTATCGCGCAAAATTGGAAATACGCGTTTTACGCGTGCGATCAATTAAGGGACTTAAGACCGTTATTTTAGACTATTAAAAGTGAATAATAATAGTATGAATGGAAGTGCATTAGAGATTTAGTGCACAAGTGAAACAAATCCGAGAGGAAACGCGCGCGTTCGCGCACTATCCATAGTTGACTTTTGGAGCAATTTTGTCCACACATTCTTAAGCTTTTAGTGGACCCATCACACCAAATCAAAACCCTTCTTTTCTCACCTTAAGTGCGCGGCTAGAACTCCCATTTTCACACCAAAACAGCCGACCAAACAGGGAAGGAAAGAAAGGAAGAAAAGCTTCTTCATTCTTGCACCAATCTTTCTCCATTTCATCTCAAAATTTGCATCCAACTTAACCACTTGGAGATTCACTTAGGCAAGGAGAAGAGCTTCATTTCCCCGGTTTTCTTCAGGCTTCAAAGGGCCGAAAATTCTGACTTGAACAACCACCAAAGTAGGTAATGATCCAACACTCTAAACTTGTCCTATGGAGGTTAAATTACACATATGAGCTTGAATCTTCACATGGGTAGCTTGTATTGTTGGAAAATTTTGATGGTGGGCTCTATGAACTCCCACTCTTGGGTTGTTGCTAATTTGATGATTGATGGTGGATATATTGTTGGTTTAGTGGTTAAAATGATGGATTAATGGTGTGTAATTGATAGAAATTTCATTGGGTGCAAGAAGCAAAAGTTTCCGATTTTGCTCCTGCCTTGTTCGGCCATTTTAAGGCCAATTTTTAATGATCTAATGGGTTGAATCTGATGTTTATATGACGTATTAGATGTGTGAAAATTTTCATTGAAAAATAATGAGATTTGGTTGGGCAGATGAATTTTTTTTGTGAAACTAGCAAATCTAGAAACTGTTCACGTATGGCTCTGACCAGCGGTGGTGTTTCGGCCATAACTCCGTCCTCGGATGTCGAAATCATGTGTCGTTGGTGGCGTTGGAAACTAGACATTCCAGACGTTAATTTGAGATAAAATACACGTTCTGATTCTTTGTGAGTGAGCCGAACCAAACGTTTTAAGATCGCTGTCCTGTTGCTCTGTTCAACTGGAATGAAGTGATAAGGCAGCAAATTGATGCCCGATTTTGAACTAGTTGGGTGCCAAATTTTGAAATGATTTCTTCTGTGATATTATAGCCCTATGAATGTATTTTTCAATGACATAAACCATGCCCCATTCTGAGTTAAATTGACTGAGTTGTGACCAAAACAAGAGGACTGCCCTGTTTTGGAAAAACCGAAATACTTGGACTGGTTTGGGACAAAACCTGGGAGTGATCTTATTAATTGAAGTTCTTGATGCTAAACACTTACCAAAGGTATCATGGATGTATCTTAGACCTTTATTTCACAAATGAACCATGGTTGGATAGCTTTCTTGATTAAACGATTTAAATTGGGAAATGAAGTCAAAAGACAGGTTGCTTTAGAAATTTTCCTGAACTTTGGATGATTAATTAACTACCTTTCCGAAGGTATTTTTCCCTGAAATTTGATAGAACGGTACCTTTCATATAGGAGTAACATACTGCAAAATTTTATACCAATCCAAGTTCGTTTTGACACTTAGCTAAGGTTCCAATTTTTGGAAACTCAAATCTGGAAATTGTTCACCAGACTTGAATTTTCCCAACTTCGAGCTACCGTATCTCAGTGCTCGAAACTCCAATTCTCAATCTGCTTGTTCTGCCCTAAACCTTACTTGCACCTCTAATTGAGTTATAAATTTCAAGGGCTAGTTTGTAACGAGTGAATTCTGCCAAATTTCCAAAGTTAGCGAAAAACCAACCCCAGCTCAATCCTGAACATTCTGGAACAGTGATTTCAAGCTCATTTTTGAGTACTTTCCACTTAGATTCATGGAAAAGTGTCTTCTAAGAACTTTTAGTACTTTCCAAGAGGTTTCCAACGGTATAAATTTTTCCAATTTTGGACTTGTAGAGAATGAGATACGATTTTCCAAAGTATGGGTGACAAATCTGAAATTTCCGAACTTAAAGGAAATTGAGAGTTGCGAACTCTCTATTTTCCTTCGATATTGCTAAACCGTTTTACACTTGATTTCAAAGATGAAAATCAGATTTCTCTTGTGTTTTAAAACCCCATTTTTAGTCTCGATTTACGAGTAATCAAGGCTCATTTTCATAAAATTTTCTTAGATTGTACAAGTGTGCAATCTTCCTCGATAATTAGGGGTTTTAAGCGATAGTGTGTAATAGACAATTACTATTTACTCAGGTGCTCAAGGAGACCTTCAAGAGGATCTCGAGGGGAACACCTAAAGGCTCGTTTACGCACTTACTCCCTTATTTCGATTGGTGAGTGTCAAGTGCATGAACTTGTTGTTAAGTGGTTATCTGTTTCTTATCCGTTATGTAAATTTGAAATTTTGAGACGAGGGTATACTTTATCGCACTCGTTTTCTTTCAAACGAAATTATATTCGAATTTTGCTATGTGAATTCGTATCCGACTTGTACATGGTAATGTGGATGTGATTTGTATTTGTGATTCGTATACGTGATCCGTATTTGTGATTCCTATTTGGAATTGTCGATTTGAGCGTTGCTCATCGACTTATATTCGTATTCGTATTCGTATTCGCCCAAACTCGTTGGCTAACTTTGCGAATCGAGCCAGCATGGACTTGGTCGATAAGCTTAGCAAACCATGAGATATTTGTAGAGCATGATCTATTGGAGAGATCTTGTTCGGCATTACTCGTGCAGTATTGCCATGATATACTCGAGTATTATCAAAAACTTTGATGAGCGGGCCCGGTAAGGGGGTGTAACGGTAACGGGATTCGAAGAAAAGTGGTGTATCTACGGATTTGATACTTATGTGGTTGACGAAGTGTCAACGTGAGATGTGATCAAGACTTTGACTCGACTACGGGGAATTTAGCTCCTGAGAGCTACAGTATCCTTGAATTGTTTCTGTTTATTTTTCCTATTTGAAATGCGAATTATTCGAATTTGATAGCCTTACCTACAATGTAATTGTTGTTGCTACTTGGATTATGTGTTTGCATGTGTGTTTTCTTGGCCTCACTGAGTATTGGCTCATCCTATTAGTTTGTTTTTCTTAACAGGGCCGAATCTCGGGGAAGTATGGAGAAACCCTTCGTTGTCCTTTTGTTTAGGATTTCTACTATATTTTGGCTATGCCCTGGTTTGGGTTGTACTTTTGAAATTAAAATGTAAAATTTGGGCCCTGACGTGTATTTAGGATTTAAGTTGTATTATGATTACCCGATGTACTGGTTACATGTTAAATGACTTGATAAGTTTTAACGCTTCTGCATTATTTGTATTCATGTTGCTCTCTTCGAAATGTTCGGTTTGGTTTTAAGTTGAATGGAATTGCTTGAGTCCTGGCGAGAGTTGGGCAGGCGTCTCGCGGAAACCCTTTGGTTCGCCTTAGGGAGATGTGGGGGCGTCACACAATGCAATTAGTAAAAGTACTTTCCTCGTCTTTTGCTCCAAAGAAACGATAAGGTGTGTTGGTGTGGCTCGAGGTAACCAATCTTCGGTCTCCGCTGCAACTCACCTATCCGTCACACCTTTTTCTCGATCATCTCTCCTCACTTCCCTTTTGTCCATCAAAAATCATCTTTCTTCTCCATACCAATGCCTATGAAGACTCATTTTATGAAGAAGTCTTCCTTTTAAGTTCAAGGGAAAATTGCAGAAACCTCCCCTGAGATTTCTGACACTTGCACTCACTTCCCCTATGGTTTGAGAAATAGCACTGACCTCCCTTGAACTTACTGATTCTTTGTATATTCAGTTCAGGCAATTAAAATATTGTTTTAGGCAGGGAAATGAGAAATTTGTACTAGATTTGCCATTTGTGATACATACCAAGTAGAATTAGCAAATGAATGACAAAATATTATAAATCAATTAACAATTAATAAACTTTAGGGGTATAGTTTATGGACAAATAGATATTATCTATTCAAAGTACTAGCTTTTATGGGCATTTTACTCTCAAACATTTAATTTATGATAGATACATCAATGTTTGTAAGTAAAATTCAAAAAGTGTTACTATAATATTTTTACAAAAAGGAAATTGGTAGGTTATCTATTTAATATAAATTAAATATTATTTAAAAAAGAAATGGCTCATAAAGTATTAATTATTTATGACTTTCCTCCATTACGTGAACAAAGTATTGGTTCTTTATGGGCATTTTATTCTGAATCATTTAATTTATGTTAAATGCATATATGTTTGCAACTAAAATTGAAAAAGTGTTACACTGATATATTTACGAAATGAAAACTGGTAGGTTTTGTATTTAACAAAAATTAAATATGTGAAAGTAAATACAAATTTAAATTTGATACCTCTATTAGGCAATTTAAATTTAAAAAAGGTTTGTATTTTACCTCTATTCACGTGATATGGCCTCAAAATCTCTATTAAGCAATTTAAATTTAAAAAAGAGTTGTATTTTACCTCTATTCATGTGATATGGTTTCAAAATCTGAAACCTCTATTTAAATTTGTATTTACTTTCACATATTTAATTTTTGTTAAATACATAACCTACCAATTTCCCTTTTGTAAAAATATTAGTGTAACACTTTTTCAATTTTAGTTACAAATATTTATGTATTTAACATAAATTAAACGATTCAGAATAAAATGCCCATAAAGAGTTAATACTTTGTTCATGTAATGGAGGAAAGCCATAAAGAATTAACGCTTTATGGGCCATTTTTTAAATATTTAATTTATATTAAATATATAACCTACCAGTTCCTTTTTGTAAGAATATTACTATAACACTTTTTGAATTTTACTTACAAACATTGATGTATTTATCATAACTTAAATATTTGAGAGTAAAACATCCATAAAGAGCTGGTACTTTGAATAGATAGTGTCTATTTGCCCATAAACTACACCCCTTAAAGTTTATTAATTGTTAATTGATTTGTAGTACTTTATCATTCCTTTGCTAATACTAATTGGCATGTAGCACAAAAGGCAAATCAGGCATAAATTTCTCACTTCACTCCCTAAAATAATATTTTAATCGCCTGAACTAAATATGCAAAGAATCAATAAATTCAAGGGAGGTCAGTTCTATTTCTCAAACCATAGGGGAGGTGAGTGCAAGTGTCAGAAACCTTAGGGGAGGTTTCTGCAATTTTTCCTAAATTCCACTTTCCTCTGATCTTCTCCTCTTCTACCTAATTTTTCCCCCACTATTGGAAGCTGAAAATCTGATACCACGTTCTTTTATATTATTAATTTGCTATTTTTTGGCCTAATTTCTTACTTTTTTTTTGGACCACAATTTTTTGTGTGATCTTGTAGGTCACTCACTATTTTTTCATCTGGCTACTCATAGGTTTTATTTTCTCACCTTCGTTTTCCCTATTTTATGTAAAATTTCTTCCTTTTTTGCTTGCCATAACTTTTCTGTATAATTCTTTTTTGTTTTGGGAGCCACAAAAAATCTCCCTCAGCCTCTAAGAAGAGGAAATAAAAGGGTGTTCCAAAAAAAAAACAGGCAAGTCTCCTTAACTCGCTAAACAAAATCATGATCTATTAATATTTTGTTTTGTTTTCTTATCACCTAAATCGACATGATTTGCATATCTTGAAGACTAATGGAGCACGAGAAGAAGGAAAGAATAGTTCAATTTTTAGCAAAATGTTCACTTCAAGTTTGCCTTTGGTTTTTTTTTCTAGCATTTTTTTGCTGATCTTTCCTTGGCTAAAAGCAACAGATCACCTTTGCCCTTCCTTTGTGTCCTTTGTATGTTATGCTTTTGGGTTTTATTACAAAGGACTCTATTCAACATGAAAAAGTATTGCATCAGCATGAACTGGATGTGAAATTTTGGAAATGCATTTTAGATGTTTAGTGCTTAATGTCTGGTTATTGTTTGGGAAACACAATTTCTTCACTTCATGCTAATCCTTATGCTTTATTGTCATTTTCTTGTTCCTTATTGTGGTCTCACATATCCTATGATAGATTTGATGGTCTAACATATTAATTATCTATGCTCTCTCATAAGTTTCAAATGTTTGTTGTAGCTTGAGATGTTAAGATTTGCAAATTCTTTTCTCAAGGTGAGCATTTTTTCAGCTCTCTATTTTTTTCCCATAGAGAAAAGTTAATATAATTTCATTTTTCCTTTTATTTTTCCTAATAAATTTGATTTTTCTAATATTTATTTATTCTAAATTTTTGTTAGAAGAAGGAACAAAGCAAAAAGGAGGCTAATTTTTTTCATTTAACCTTAAAGGTATGTTTTGATGTTTTAGTGTTCTCTTCATTTTTTTCTTAGCATTTTACTATAATTTTCCGGTCAATTTACCCGATTTACTATTCTTGAAAAAAGTGGAGCATGAAATTTTGTGAAGGTACTGCATTTCCTTTAGATTTATAGTCAGTTTCTTAGTATTTTACCTATTTTAGTAAATTCGTCAATAAGAGGTTGCAAGTTTTCTTTGGCTGCTCCATTCCATTAAGATCTTTAGTCGAGGTTTAATAGCATTTGTTTTCACCCTATTTCATTGAAAGTTATGATTATTGATGAAATCATTATAAAGTTTTTCTCTGCTTTGATGGTGTCATTTTTTAATAACTCTTTAGACGTAGTAATTTCTAAAAAAATGATGTACATTGACTGCTTGTAGCTTTTGTTTCTCGCTGTCCTGTCCCTCCTAATGCGTTCGTGTTTGAGTAGTCGGAATGATGTAACTAAAATGGCCAAAAGAACCGCTAAGATAAGATCTTTGTATAGCAAAAGAGAATGTTCATATGCTCCATCCCAGTTGTAAGTTTAAATATTGCTGCCCTAAATTTCTAGCCAAATTGTGTATATTGGGGAATGATCAAAAGGTGGTGATTACTCCTTAGCTTCTCCACCTTTTCTCAATTAGACAACTAGAATTTTCTAACACCTTATGTAAAAAAGAAAATTAAAATCTAAGAATTACATAGAGAATAAATTGCTTTTCAAGATTTAAAAAATAAACTCTAACAAATACCAAACTAATATATTGAAATTTCTCTGTAGCTTTTGCTTGAATTTTTTGGAGTTTTTTGTTCTGTCATTGATCTGTTTAAGAAAGAAGAGAAAATTTTCTTTTAGTTTAAATTGATGTCCTATGTTCATTCATGCTGTCTTGGTGAAAATGTGGCATGAATGAAATATATCTACATGATTTATAGGCTAAAATGCATATGTTATTTTTGGTTTTCTGTTCTTTATTTATTTACTTAGCATTCATGCTTGAGAAAAAATTGGCTGGCAGGAGGTATTTATCCAAATAAGATGGTGGCTCAGAATGCATCTGCTGTTTATTGGCTTTCTATTCTTTATTTATATATCCAACATTAATGTTTGAGAAAAAGTTGAATGGCAAGAGGTATTATTCAAATATAATGGTGGCCCAAACTTAGAAGTAAGGAATGTGTTCTTGACGGCTTTGTTTTATATTTCATACTTCAGCATTTCCTTAAAATTTTGCAATGAAGTGTGGCAAAAACTGTAGGTACGTTACCTGTGATTTAACAAGATTGTCATTCTACTATTTACACAAAATGTTATTAAATTCTTATATGATTCCCTCTTGGTAGATTTGATTGATATTTAGATAGCTGGAACTTGGAAACTAATGGAAGCTCATGGAGTTTTGTCATGAATGCTTCATACTTTGTCTTCTTCTTTACAATATCTTTAGCAAAAGTCATTATTTACTTCAACAGCCATTTGCTATGGTAAAGATATCTAACTTTGTGATGATTTTTTTTTGAAATTTTCACCACTAATGCATAGTTCCACTAGAATTGGCTGATTGAACGCGACGCTAGATAAGAAAAGATGAGAGGCATTTCTAGATATAACAGTCAATACTTCTGGATAAATGTATCTTATACCTTAAATTGTAACTTTTCACCGGTAATGAGATGCATTGTACAGGCAAAGAGCTTACCTCAATTATGTGTTATTATGCTCTTCAACTTTATTAGTATTATTTCTTTTCTTAATTGAAATGTTGACAAAATGCTTCATTATCTACCACCTATAGAAAATGAAAAAAAAATAATTTTTAATTGGAAAAATACAGCCAATGAGGGCTTTGGTCATATTACCCTTGTAACTTCCCACTGGGCATATTAAACTTGTAACTTCACATCGCACATAGTGTGGTGATCCTCTCCTAGTTATGTTTAAAGCATTCAATTTTGTTCTTTGAGCAATTTAAATCCTCATATTCACAAAAAAAAATCAATGTAAGACTTTTTATGGAAATTAGAAAACCCTTACTCGAACTAGTTTCATATACAGTCAACC